TTTATATGATTTGCCTGTCTCAGTGGGTTTAATTCATACATTTATAGTTTGAGTGTTGTACACTGTAAAATCTAACAGTTGTTCTTAATAAGATTTTTTAAGTAACTTTACTTAATTTCCAATAATTTGTTGAACTTACTTAAAAAAATTTAGTAATCTGTACTGTTTGCATGCTATGCCTTTGTTACTCAGAAAACCCAACTAAACATTACTTGACTAGGCTAACTAACACTTTTTAGTAAACTTTACTTAATGTCTTAACTTAATTGTAAAAATCTAGTAATATGTATTCACCCACTATGCTTAGTTCACTCAGAAAACCCAAGTAAAGATTAATTGATTAGTTTAAGTGTGGTTTTTGTGGCGGGAAAAATCTTAATGGATTTTTCTCTAATTTCCCCCACTTCTGCCGTTATTTCTCTCTATTTGCATTTACTCATTTCCCAAAGTCACTTTTAATGTTGAATTGACAATTTTGAGAGAACATCACATAAGCTGACTTGTTGATTTTCCTAAAAAAATTTTAGTCACCATTATGGCGATTAATGTTCCCTTTGGTTGGTCACTTAAGTTGAGACTTAATTTATATTAATATTATTCTCTTCCCATTGATGCAGTGATGCAACAAGAAATCAATTATATGATTTCAAAGGAAGAGAAGTAATATATGAATATTTTAATGTGTATATTTATATATATACACACACACACACACACACACACACACGTGCATAGACATACAGTATATATGTATATACATATATGTGTGTGTGTGTGTGTGTTTGCTTGCTGTATAACTCTGTTTCATGTCAATTAATTATCACAATATTAATTTCACAATAATTCCTTATGAAACTTTTCATTGGGTTAATATAATTCCATATAAAACTTAAATATAAAAGTGTCAATCTTGTAATTCATCATACTTAAGTTAAACAGACTTCAACATTCATCATGCAAAACACATCAATGGTAACAATTAAATTATATTTAAAGTAGGGCTGGGCGATATATCGCACGATATTGTTATGCACATCTAATCAGTAAAGCCGGTTCCTTGATTAGCAGTAAATCACCTTCACCTGCTTTCAGATGGACGATATGAGTGGTAAATTAACACTGAAAAGGTGTTAAAAAATAATGAGATAATTAAGTGATTAATTTAGTGATGATTGAGCATTATTGAAGACACCTGATGATCACAAGCAGAATCACTGAAGGACAAAATCACAAATTGTAACTCACCGTTATGGAGATCAGTGTTTGCTTTAGTTGGGCTCTTCACCCTTATATTATTAACTTTATATTTTAATTTGCTGTTGCATCTGAGTTATATCTATCAGATGAACAAAAATAAACAATAATAAAATGATTGTGGTCATATAATGACATTTACAATTTTAAATTTATCTCATTATATATATAATTTATAATAAAATTTATAATAAAATTTATTTATAAATTTATTTATAAAATTTATAACATATAATTTATTCTGTTGCTTGGTGTATGACTTAGATTCTGAATAAATGTCCAGAATGTTAAAAATAATAGATTAATAATAGTTTTCTCAAAAGTTGCTTGAAAGAAAAAAACCTTTCCTTTAGGCACACACAGACCTCAAGATTCAGTCAATGCTTCTCAACAACGGTGACGAGTAGAATATTCAAGTAGGAAAAGTAAATTACATCGACAATTCAGATCATAATTCATTCAAACCGCAATGCATGATGGGAGTCATTAATGAGTTGTGATTGGTGGCAACAATGATTAATATCGCCACCACAGTTGAGATAGACAGGCTGATTATTGATCTCTGTGTTTCTAAATAAGCATGAAAGGGATTTGATAAGAATAATATTTATAAATTATTTTTTATTTATAAGAAATATACAAATATGCCGTATAATCACTAAAATGTTTCTGATAAGTTAAGCCAAATCATCTGAAAAGTTTCATTTCACAGATCACAGCATGATTACGTCAAAACATAATCAACACTATAAGATCAAAGATGTCTTATTTGACTGTTATTAATAAATAACAGCAGACACAAGTGTAAGTAAAAGTGTCAAGAGCCCAACTAAAGCAGACACTGATCTCCATAACGGTGGCTTACAATTTGTGATTTTTGTCCTTCAGCGATTCTGCTTGTGATCATCAGGTGTCTTCAATAATGCTCAATCATCACTAAATTAATCACTTAATTATCTCATTAACTTTAACATCACTTGTACAGGGGTTGGACAATGAAATTGAAACACTGGCCAATGTTGGAGGTTTCACATCTATATGCCTGGCGGCCAATCTTCAGAGTGAAGCATGGGTGGATCAGTGATGGTTTGAGCTCCAATATCATGACAATCCTGATTATTTGATGGACACGACACTGCCGAGGACTACCAAACCCTTCTAGAGGATCATGTCAGCATGATCATGCACCAACACACACAGCAAGACTTGTGACAGAAGGGTTTGATGAAGATTAAAGTGATGTTGAACATCTCCCATGGTCTGCACAGTCACCAGAGCTGAATATTATTGAGGTGTTTTGGAGGAGCGAGTCCACCAGCATCATATAGTGACCTGGACACTGTTCTGGAAGAGGAACGGCTAATCCCTCTGGTCACTGTGAAGGACTTCTATCTGTCAATTGGTGCTGTATTTGGATGCAAAATGAGGCCCTCACCATTCTAACAAATTATTGTGTAGTAAAACCAGGTGTTTCAGTTTCATTGTCCAACCCCTGTATACTAACTAAGCATTTGTCAGTTCAACATACTATTCCTATTTCACTTTACTTGAAGAAAATGTGGAAACCGATTGCACATATTTTTTTTAAGTCTTCATAGCTTAAAATGGCAGATTAAAACCATGTTGAGAATAATAGCATTTAATATGTTTGCAGAACACATTATAACACTGTTAGTTAAATGGAATTACTCAAGTAATCTTACTATTAAATCTTAAGTAAGATTAGTAAATATTATTTAGTATGTTAACTAGAATTGACATTAAACTAACTTGATATTTATACTTTATTTACTTGGGAAGATGTAGCTTTCTTTACTTTTAGCCGATTATTAACTTAACTTCAGTTTTCCTTTTAAGTTTGCTTTGCAAAAATAAGGCAATCGGTTTCCAAACTTTTTTTAAGTAAACTGAACTTGTTAGAATTTACAGTGAGAGATCACTATAAGAGGGTGTTCACTGACAGATGATAGCATGATGTAGCATGATTCATAAAGACTTTAAAGGGCACCTATTAACTATTACCTTTTTACAAGATATAAAAATAAGTCTCTGATGTCCCCAGAGTGTGTATGGGAAGTTTTAGCTCAAAATACCCTGCATATATTTTTATAGCACGTTAAAATTGCTTAAAATGAAAACACTTTTTGTGCAAATGAGCCGGTGCTCCCAGCCACCTTTCAAGAAGATGGCCGAGCTCACACACTTAAAATGTCAAAAACTGTCAGTAGTGGTGTTCAGCCTAATATGTTCAAACCGAAGTCGGACAATGATGCCTACAGAGAGTCAGAGTATATAGTATATGTTGTATTGAGATAGGAGAGGTATAGTTACGTTTAAAGGGATAGTTCACTTTGAAATTAATTTTTGATATGTTTTAGCTTACCTCAAGGGCATCCAAGGGCATCTTTGTTTCCACAGTATTTTCAATTTTGATATTTTTTGGTCAAACCGTTGTTGTCTATAAGTCATATAATGGAGGTTAAAGGGGTCCACCCTGGGTTCACCTCAAAGAGCATGCACAGAGAAGTCCAAATTAAACATGATTTAATGACTCGTAAATGTAAGTACACATTGATGGCCTAAGACACGAAACGAGCGGTTTGTGTGAGAAAACGAACAGTATTTATACGGTTTTTACCTTGTGTAACACAGCCATGTCAAACTGATCTGACGGCACGGGCGCTTCAGTCTGCGTATGCGCAGGAAGTGATCGCCTACGTCACTCTTTGTTTATACAGAGATTTCAGAAGTTTTACCTTTCACTAAACATATTTAGATATACAGGAAATCACAATGGAAGACGATTTCAGTATATCTAAATATGTTTAGTAAAAGGTAAAAATTCAGAAATCTGTGTGTAAATATTGAGTGACGTACACACGCAAGCGATCACTTCCGGTGGAACGCTGAACATGATTCAGTTCGGTTCAGTTGGACATTGCACAACTGATTCAGATCACTTAGACGTGACTGTGAATACACGAGGTAAAAACTATATAAATACTGTTCATTTTCTCTCACAAACCGCTCGTTTCGTGTCTTAGGCCATCAATGTGCACTTACATTTACGAGTCATTAAATCATGTTAAATCATGTCTTTGACGTGGACCCCCATACCTGCATTATATTACTGACAGATAAGAACGGTTTGACCGAAAAATGTCAAAATTGAAAATACTGTGGAAACAAAGACACCTACATCTTGGATGCCCTTGAGGTAAGCTAAAACATATCAACAATTAATTTCAAAGTGAACTATCCCTTTAATTACCGTTATAACTAACTACTATTACTACAAGTCTCTTGTAGCGGACCCCGTCTGAATGATGGTCAAAATTTTATTGATGAGTTCTATGAAGTTTATAGCACACAAAAATAGTTGCGTTCGTTTTCACTCCAGAAAATCTGATTCAGCATTGTCAGCATTGATGTCACTTTCCCGCCGGACAGAGTGGCAGAAGAGCGGCTCTCAAAATCTTCTGTTGTGTTTGAGAAGCACAGAATTATTAAAATTGAATATGTTTTCAATAAGTTTTCAACAACTTCTGTTAGTGAACATTTTTTTTTCCCTTAACTTTTGAAATACAAAATGTATCTCCTCTAAAAATTTAATTTCGCATTATCAGTCCTCTTTAATGTGTTTACGGATAAACTCTTATTTATTTAATCTTAAATTATTTTTCTTTCCAGTGTTTTTTAATCTTTTTTTTTTTTCATTTTTGCATGTTAGTAAATGTGATATCTACCTTTACAGCTTTTTTGAACTTTAGACAGAAGTCTTGGAAGATTCTGAAGCACTCATCCAGTTTAAAGGTGTCTTTGTCTTCACAGAAGAAGTCGATAAGGGCATTGCCTTTTTTACGCAAGTCAAGCCTGCGTTGTTTGAGGTCCTGAAGGGCATGTGTAGAGCTCTAACAAATAAGAGGGCAGCAGGTGAGTCATTCTTATTGGCATAAAAAAAGTTCATCAAATTATTATAGCAAATTCAATAGAAATATAAAACCATAAAATAAATAAATAAATAACCATTAGTACAAAAAACATACTCTACTATGGAATTCTAATTAGGGGAATGATTAATTTACCTGCAAAAATGGACCCAGCTGCTTTTGCAGCTCATCGTCATCCTGAATCTTCTGTTCCAAGGAACGTGTTTTGACATAGAGAGAGGAGAACTCTCCTTCTATATTTTCTACTGAAATTCTACAACAATAAAAATCCAAGTCAGAGAAAGATTGAGGAAGGGGTCATAAAAAGGTGAGAACTGTTAAAAATATAAGAAGAAAATAAAAACCTAATACATTATTAGCACTAGTTGAACCAGAAGAGCTTGGATTGATATTGCTCTAGTCTCACATAGCTAGACCTTTACATGATTATATATACAGGATTAATAAAACTCTAGATTTTCTAAAATAGAGTTTTTAAGTTTCATAAAATAAAAAGATTATTAATAAGATACGTTTTTAGAAACTAATATTTTGTGTTACCTGGCTGCACTCTGAACATGTGTTAGCTTCTCTGGGAACTTCAAAAGGGCCTCATCCTTTTTCTGTGCTTCCTTTGTGACAAAAGTTCCAAATCAAATCAGTTAAAAAATGTTGTTGTTATTACTGTGGCTGGTTCCCTAAAACATTTGCAAACATTTACTAGTAATTCTGGAGAAAACTACAGTGCATCTGGTTCTGTCTTACTTACTAGTGCCACAAAATGGAGCAGGTTCATGCCAGGCTTGTTGGCCTTCGTATCAGCCAGAGAGAGAAGCGAGGACAGTTTGAAGCCTAAAGCATTGCCTGCATAGCCACCCTATGAAAACACAGAGAACATCAGTCAATGTCTGGTCAATGCTGTAAAAGCTAACAACCTTTCCTGATTTAAAAATGTCAGGGATTGTTTTGGAGAGGAATAGTTGAAAGGAAAGAGCAAAGGTGAAAAGAGTAATAGGGGGAAATGTCCACACAAAAAAAGGGACAGATGAGGGGTAGAGGATGGGGAACACAAGAAAGACAATAAATAGAAAAAAAGGCTGGAGACAGAAAGAGAGACTTACTGCATTCATGATATTTCCCGCTTGGAGAACTAAGTGTAGAATGGCATGGAGCTCTTCACAGGTCATCAGTTCTGAGGAATAATCCATGGAAATTGAATAATCACTGGCCATTTGGTAAATTACACAACACTCTAAATGCTATTACAATCCTTCCTTCCTACTATCTACAGTCTAAGAAATGTAAAGGAACTCAATGCACATTTAAATTAGAAAAGAACTGCTGACAGTGTGTCCTACTGTAGCTCATGATACTGTCGCTGCTGTTATGCAGGATTAATAAAACTCAATTTGAGTTTTTATAAAGGCTCCTGATGATTAATGGAGTGCCATGTCTTTATTTTTAAGAACTATTGAAGTGTAGATGGGTCCGTTGGACTCGTGAACCATTGGAATCTGATAAGGCTAATAGACCATTTCACAAGATGTAAACAACACTGGTCCAGAAGCACTTCCTGTTTCAGTTTTTTAACACTACATAAAAGCTGGGATAAAATACAACCAACAGAACATTTAAAAGTGAATCAAAAAGTTAAACAAACATGAATAAGATATTTTCTTTACATGTGAAATAAAGAAAACAGGAAGTGTTTCTGGACCAGTGTTGTTTACATCTTGTGAAATGGTCTATAAAGACAAAAATGTCTGAAAATGTAATCCCATATGCCTACCCGTAAACCTAACCCTCCCTACCCATAAGTTATCCCTAAAATCAGAAGGAACTGATAGGTGAAAAACACCCCGTTTAACCCAATTTGTAAACCTAAACTTGACAGAAATTGTAAACTTGTCCCTCAAACCTGATTGGTTGATTGGAATATTGTTCCAGGATCAACAAATACGTTGATCAGGTACATGTTGCACTTGGTAAAAAAAGCTGAGTGATAGAAAATGACCCAGAATTGAGTCCTAATGAAAGTTCACTCTATTGTTTATTGGTCCACACCTGACAGCAGATATTTTGAAAGTGGTGGAATGGTACCTCAAATTATATGGGTTGGTGAGTTTGTGTACAAGAGAGAGAGAGAGCGTATATGATAATTTAAAAATGACTTTGCGTTTATTTATCCCCCAATAACCTATAGTCCATAGACGCTCAAAATGTTTTGCCTACTTAGCTAAAAAATATAAATATAGAATTATTGCTTCAGCTTAAAGGGGAAAATTACATAAACTTCAGAACCTCCAAAGAATAGTCTAGTATGTTCTTACCTTCGGTAGCCTGACGCACAATGTTAATCTCACGACTCATGACCGTACAGGACGGGAGAAACTCTTCCTGAAGTACCATAGCCTCAATACACACCTCAAAGCTTTAAACATGAACACACAATCACAGTCGACTTGCGTTTTTGTCATGTTGTTGTCAGGTATTATGAAAACGTATATTTGTGTGTCTCTTACCGTGGCACTTGGATCAGCAGGAACATGAAAGAATCAGCCAGTGTCAGCTTATTTGGGTCTCCCTTGAATTCCTTCAATCTCTTCACCTAGAGAAGAAGAAGAAGATGAGAGATTTAAATTCACATTCAAATATCAGAGCAAACACAAAGCATTTGTACGATAGGTATATTTGTACTTTTCATTTATAGATAGATTGGATTAATTGTACACTCATTTTTTAAATAATGAAGATTTGACATATGAACTCACGGCCGCTCCATTTTACTCTTGTTGTTTTAAAACTTTTCGATTTTATGGACGTTGCCATCTTTGGTCACTTTAGTCACTGTCTCTATGGTTACTGGTAAGAGAATACGGACTTGATTTCATGTAAAAAATCCCATTTGATTGCATGTTCACACAGACAGTATTCGAGATGCTTGTGTAAGTTGCCGTGTTAACAGAAAGTTTCGAGACTCACACCTGTAAGTAAATGCAGTTGTTAAAGGGTTAGTTCACCCAAAAATGAAAATTCTGTCAGTATTTACTCACCCTCATGTTGTTCCAACCCCGTAAGACCTTCGTTCATCTTCGGAACACAAATTAAGATATTTAAGATATTAAGATCGCTCCTGCATACAGTCCATAGGCTTCTTGAGGGACTGGCTCTTGCTGTCCTCGAAAAGTCATTAAAGACATCGTTAAAATAGTCCAAGTGACTACAGGGGCTCAATCTTAAGTTTATCAAGCGACGAGAACACTTTTGTGCGCAAAAAAACAACAAAAATAACGACTTTATTTCAACTATTCGTTTATTTCTCCCTCTGCGCGAGTCAGGTTACTAGTTTAATAGCGTAAGCTTCTGTTATTGTACGTCACACGCATCACACACACATGACCAGCGTCGGCCAATAGTGAGCCTACGTGTGACGTAGCTCTACGCAATCACACTACGTTAACTGACTTACAGGCTCATGGAGAAGGAAGTGAATAGTTGAAATAAAGTCGTTATTTTTGTTGTTTTTTTGCATTTTTTTGTTTTTTGATAAACTTAAGATTGAGCCCCTGTAGTCACTTGGACTATTTTAACAATGTCTTTAATGACTTTTCAGGGACAGCAAGAGCCAGTACCTCAAGAAGCCTATGGACTGTATGCAGGAGCGATCTTAATATCTTAAATATCTTAATTTGTGTTCCGAAGATGAACGAAGGTCTTACGGGGTTGAAACAACATGAGGGTGAGTAAATACTGACAGAATTTTCATTTTTGGGTGAACTAATCCTTTAATTCTAAAAACTGACAGTGTGAATGTAGCCAGAGTTCTCACCTCTTCTGCCTCTGGTAGTAGTTTGAGCAGTTCCTTCAGCTGTTCAGTTCCATACTGCTCACTGTTGCCAAGACGGATGTCTTCTACTATTGCATGATTAGGCCTGAGGGAGACAAACAGAAGTTCAAAACAGACAATCAATTTGTGTCTCTGCCTGATCATCAGCTCAGTAGAGATATTGTAGGATACTTCAGTGTACTGCTCCAAAGCAATTTGGAAATACAAACGTTTAACTTTACAAGGACATTGTGAGTTATGTATATGTATAGTTAAACTGTGCAGGCATTTTGGATTCATTCATTCAAATCCATTAAAATATAAATATTAACCCTTGTGCATCAATTTAAAAAAGTTACACATACACTGTTAGACCTTACCAGGTTTTTTTACAGTAAAATACTGGCAACACTGTTGCCAGTTATTTACTGTAGAAATGCACTAAAACTCGAGTTAACTAAAAAATACAACTTATTAGTTTTAGTGCATTTTTACAGTAAATAACTGGCAACAGTGTTGCCAGTTACTTACCGTAAAAATGCACTAAAACTATTTTACTGTCAGTTATTTACTGTAAAGATGGACTAAAACTTGAGTTAACTAACTTCACTTGCAGAAACCAACTTAAAAGAATCAACTAAATTTATAGTGCATTAATAATGTGAGCAAAGTATTATTGTGAACTTATTTAATAAAGAGATTTCCACCGGATTCTGCTTTAACACAGACAGTGCCTTTTAAATAAAGCAACATGCAGCGTATCGTCAATGTTTGTAGATCTTCTCCTGGACTGAAGCTCAGGCTCTACTCTTCAGCACAACGGTGACCCAAAAAACAAGATTTTACAGTAAACTACTGGCAACAGTGTTGCCAGTATAAACCTGTTTCATAACTTACAGTTTATTACTGTTAAAATACATTTTGCGGGAGTGTCTTTTTATCTTACACTGTTAACCCTTTCAACCCCACAGGAAAATCCACACTACAAAGAGTAAAAGTAACATTGATGCAGTGTTGCAGTGAGATAATTAAGGGAATATGTAAGTGATTGTTGAGCATGAACACCTGCTGTTAACAAGCAGAATCACTGAAGGAAAGAGGAACAACAAGAACAGAAAATAGAGAAACACAAGAACTACAACTGACTTCCGCCATTACACATTATTACACTTATTATTAACCAGTATGGCTTTATTTCTGTCATACATCTATAGAAGATGTTGTTGAGATGTTTAATTGAAAATGTTTGGTTTGAAGTTACCATTATAGAGATCAGTGTTTGCTTTAGTTGGTCTGCTGATGCTGTAACATGAGAGTTTCTTTTTGAACTGTGTTTTGTGCAAGTCACACTTGTGCAGACACACAGTTTAGTAATGATTTGATTTTTCAAAATATGCAAATCATCATATTGTCTTTTCATTTAGTAAAAAAAATTCATTCTCACTCGTTCAGAGTTTAAACCTCAACCAAAAGTGTTACATTACCACCACCGTGAAAACACAGCCATAAATTATGACTCTTTTTTTAACACATCATACATAAACCAAAAAAAGAGCTACATAGTATTGTAGAACCACAAAGATATCAAAATTTAGCACATTAATCTCAATGATGGTGGCAGTATATTTTTTTATTCATACAGCAGTGCATGCTAGGAGTTTTATACTATCCTGTAACCCAGCATGCACTGCTGCATGAAACTTTTGAATGTTACCATTATTGAGATGAATATTATAATTGTTGATGTCTGTGTGTGTCTGACTCAAGCAGGATATTATTTTTCTGTTTTATATACTTAGAACATTATTCAGAAGATATGATTAACCAACATATTGATTTCATGTCATAGATTCACAGATTTATTTTATACTCATAACTTAATGTAAGTTTCATATTATATACCCATATATTCAAAGAGTATATACAGGAAAGATCTGAAAATCAGACAAATCCAGAATGATCATGACATCATCGCAAAAGCCAATAACACCAGATCACAGATCAACTTCCTCTTGACTTTTTCTTGCTACAACAAGTGTGTTTTAAAACTCACTGTTACAGCAGCCAGAAAGAGATGAATGTAACAAGTCCAGGGATAAGAGACCTACTAAAGCAAATACTGATCTCCATTATGGTGACAAAAACTTTATTATTAATTAAATTCTCAACAAGAACTTTTGTACATGTATGAAATAAATAATGTTAAACTGGTTTGTAAACTGTTTTCACACTCTGTGTGTCTGGAAGTCTGTTGTAGATCTTGTGTTTCTCTTTTTCAGTTCTTGTTTCTCTGTGCTTCAGTGATTCTGCTTATCAGGTGTTCATCAGTGTCTCAATTCACTCACTTCTTTTCATTCAAGTGGACTATATTAGTGAACTAATGTAGGGAATAGTGAATGAGGGTATAGGGTGTGATTATGAACACAGTCTCTGAGTGTCGACTGTTAATTCCCAGTATATTCCTGTAGGCTACTTTTGTTTCCTACAGTATATTACTGTTTTAATGAAAAATGGTATGATAGTGTCAGAATTTGGCCTGTTGCCAGTATTTTACTGTAAAAAACCTGGTAAGGTCTAACAGTGTATGTTTGTGAGAGTAATTATAAGCATCAATCTTTTAAAGACTTTCAAAGGCTGTTATACAAATATATTTCAATTTCAAATGTATGGCATAGAGTGATTTCTAAAAGTGATTAATGGATAGAGGCTTCTATTATGACATGTTACAATATTAGCTTAATAAATATAGACAATCTAGGAGGAAACATTGATGGAAAATGTCCAGTCTGGGATATTTAGGCCCAAACTCATTATTAAAAAGGGAAGAATTAATATGGATTATTGCTGTAATAAGAAAGTGACAATAAAATACTTCTCTTTTAATGGCAAATCTATAATACTGACAATTTTACACCTAGTACAATTCTTTAAAAAATTAATAAAATAAAAAAAACTATTTTCTCTCTTGTTGCATGTCTGTTTTTATATTGGGAAGAAGCTGTCTGTAGGTATCATCAAAAAGCTTTACATTTTTTATATTTTTCCCCACATGCAAACCAATTAAGATAAGAGCAGTCTTTGAAAAGATAAACTAACCATGCTTCAGGGACACAGTATTTGTCTCCGTGTTGATTCAGGCCTCCAAGGACTAAATAGAGATAATTGTGTTCATTATGAAAGGTCATTCAATTAACTTTAGAGACATATAGACAGGGCTGATAGTTAATGTTCAATGTGACTGGCTTCTATCAGCATGCATTAGGTGACACACAACACCAATCAATAAATTAAATTACACACGCATGTGAAGTATACACAGAATACTTCAAATCAAACTGGAGCAGGCCAAGCGTGTTTCCTTAGCATAAAACTAAGTATAAAAATAAGTAAAGTGTATTAAAACTGCAATAAAAACCTGGTTTTATTTTTCTGTTTTAAACCTGAAATGAACATAAAGGTTTAGGTTTAGATTTAAAAAGATGATATGTCATTAATTAAGTGCTTTAAACAAACCTTTATTGGACAATAATTTCATTCATATTAAGACTTTCCGTAGACAATAATTTTTATACTGTACTGCATTTTTACATTTTCAAAAAACAGGCTTCTTTTACATTTTTTTACAGGCTTCTTGTGTGCCCTGGGATATTGCCTTCAGGTGGAAGTGCTCCTTCTCCAGTCTGGTGATTTCGTCCACCACCATAGTCTTCTGCTGTCTCTTGATAGCTGCTCCCCAGCCCAGCCCAGCCCAGCCCAGCACGACTGGTCTGGACAGCCCCCATCACTTCTCGGTGTTGCAGACTGGTGATCCCGCGATCCACTTCTGCCTGCGTCTTCCATTTGCGGCCTGTGCGGATGGGGACATTCGCACTCCATATGAGCGGGTCTGCTGAGTTCTTTAGTTCCAGCTCAAGACAAGCCATGCTCCGACCGAAAAGACCTGCGTCTGAAAAGCACCGGGGCAAGCCTAGCCACTTGCGGAAGTAGATGTAGCTTAGGCTATCCATTCTGCTTGTTTCTGATGAAGCGATTTCCCAGACCTTTAGGGGCCACAGAATACATTGGTACAGTGCTGATAGCACCGCACCTTTTGCTTCCCGGACAGTTGACTCTGCTCAATCTTTGCCAGACCTTCGGCAATTTGATGTTTGATTATCTTTCTCATCTAGCTATCTGACAAGTCTGCCGTGTGCTGCCTCCTCAGGCTCCGCAGTGGTTTTAAGCCGTAGAATGGGCTGTGCTTTTCTGCCTTTTCTTATCGACAGGCTTCTTGATTTTTCCGCCTTGACTTTCATCCTCGTCCATGTAAGAAGCTCATCAAAGCGGCTGAGGAGCCCGGTTGTACAAGGAGCCGTTTGATGGATGTCCATGTATCTCCTCAGGGATGGCAGCCTCATGCTCGATGGTAATTTGAAATCTCCAACTACCTGCCTGGCCCCTATGAGGATTACCTCAAAAGCCATCACAAACAGGATGGGGGAGATGCCGCATCCCATTGCGATTCCACATTCTAACTGCAGCCCTCTAGCATGAAACACGTGCAGGTTGCTGAAGTATCTGGCAATGATGCTCTTTACACAACCCGGGACATTGAAGAACTCCAAGGGCGAAGTCAACCTGTGTGGAACTGAGGCATACGCGTTGCCCAGGTCCAATCAAACCACATGCACATCGCTCTTCTCTCTCCTGGCATGCTAGATCTGATCATAAATCAGAGAAGGGTGCTCAATGCATCCTAGAAAGCCAGGGATTCCAGCCTTTTGGCAGACTGTGTCGATGTACCCATTTGCCATGAGAAAGTTGGTTATTCTCTTTCCCAGAATGGAGAAGAAAATCTTTCCCTCTACATTCAACAATGCTTCTGAATGCTTCTGCTCCTTGGGAATGAATACACAGACGGGTTACACTATCGCAAATATACTAACAAAAAATTGCACTCTTTAAATATATTAAAATTGTATTAGCATTATGTTTGTTTTACCCATTTTCACATATAACTTTTAACACACTATAATAGTACTTTTGTACTGAAAATTCTGTTTATTTAAAAAAAGTGTATTCATTTGCACTTTACTTTTTTAACTGTGTGCTTAAAATGATCAATATAACAATGCATTAGTAGTACTTTCAAAATACATTATAGTTTGCAATAGTATTGTACAAAGTATTGCTAAGTAATATTTGTTTATTAATGTTCAATTGTTATTGAAGACAATGTGCAATTTTTTTTTTTTTTTTTGTATTTGGAATACAGGTCAAAAGGTATTACTGAGCATATACTTTTTACTCAAATACAATACACTTATGGTATGGCTTATATATGTATTAAAGACTCTCGTACTGAATTTGTAATGTACTTGAAACAAATAAAGTACACTTCAATATCCAGCCCATTCTCACTCCCAAGGCGTCACCTAACTGACGCCTTGGGAAGAATTTGACCATGCTTCAATATCTGACGCTTTAGGCGCCCTTTAGCGTCAGTTAGATGACGCCCTAGGATCGCGTGTACCCTACCCCCACCCCATCCCTAAACCTAACCGCGTCCTCTAACTGACGTTTTCCTTTAGCGTCAGTTAGATGACGCCGTAGGATCGCGTCATGTAAGTGACGCTAAAGGGCACCTAAAACGTCAAATATTGAAGCATGGTCAAAGGTGACGCCTTGGGGTGAGAATGTGTTGCAATATCCCTAGCATCTAATTAGTCCCTACACAGGTATACACTTAAAATATACTAAGTATAACTGAAATTGTTCCAATTTAGCACACAAAAGTACACTAAATACTCTTAAGCTAGACTAGCTTCCAGCAGACGGCCGTACGCAGGCCGACTCACGTCAAAAGAGTAACACTTGACTATGTATGATATAGGATGTAGGAGTATAGCATTCGTCAATGTTCTGAGTCAAGTTCAAGGGTTAATCTTTCGCTGTAAATCGACAGCGGCCGGAAGCTAGTTATTTTAGTAGATAAAGTTTTAAATATAGATATTTTTTTCTTACACAAACACATCACTTCAATCCAGAAAGCCTTTATTAACCCCCGGAGATGCGTGGAGCACTTTGGATGGACAATCATGTTTGGATACGCTTTGATGGACTTCCAAAGACATACACCCATTCACTCCCAATAAAAGCTTGGAAGAGCCAGAATATTTTTAATATAACTACAAATATATTCGTCTGAAAGAATAATGTCATATACACCTAGGATGGCTTCAGGGTGAGTAAATCATGGGTTAATTGTATTTTTTTTGGTTGAACTATCCCTTTAATCTAATCACCATTTGCTAATGCGCACGCCGTACCTACGAGTGCAATTGACTCCTTCCCTATTATTGTGGGCACATTTCCAACATTTGTTTAACCCCCCAACACCCCCCCCCCCCCCCCCTTTTTTTTTTTTTTTTTTTTTTTAGGTTTTTAATGACTTTTTGTTTTATTTTTGAAATTGACACTGAGAGTAAAAAACAGAATTTCATTAGGAAATCCTTGGCGGGCCTGTGCCGGTGCTAAGCTAATTGCTAGTGCTAAGATCCTAATCCCCACTCTAGCGCCACCACTGAGAGAAACACAGCAAAATGAAGCCAACAGAGAGTTTGCATCAAAGGGCCAATAAACATCAAATGATTCAAATCTTTCAATGTGTGAAATTCTCAGGTCCTAACAGTACAGTTTTCAAAGATATTTGAATTTCCATACAGGATAGTGAACCTTATCTACAAGGTTTAAATTTTAGCACTGATATGGGTTAAGTGCACAATGTTACATTTCTCTTGCATGATGACTGAGTAATATTGTTGTTATGGTAACCGTGGAGATGAGTTACTTATACAGAGCCAAACTGACTGGAATGACCAGAGTAGAGGAAGACCAGAGAGAAAAATAGAGCAGAGAGAAGCAAGTGAGTTCCCGGTCAGTGAATGTAATTATGACTTACACTGAGGAACTGGGAATTTGATCAGCATGCTGCTCTGTTGATCATCTCTGCTTGATGCTTGATGGACTAGACAACGTGATCGGGGTGACAATGATTGAGAAAACAACTATCGAACATTTATACATTAACTTAATCATGATAGTTTAAATTAAACTTAACTTGGTCTTGTTGATATATCATTCAACTGTGTCAGTACTAGTGCATGACTAAATGCCCACAAAAGATCAATATTGTGGTTGACAGAGAGATAAAGGCTAAAGGTTTATATAAGATAATGTTTATGAGACTTACTGTCAGCCCCTGAAATGAACACATAAAGGAATTAAAAACTGCTGGGCATGTATACTAATTAATACAGATATAAACTTCAAACCTGGACTTCTATTAGCACTAAAGCACCAACTTTATTGCTGTTGACGGAACTTTTTAGTTCAGGGTGTGAAATGGGATTTAAATTTTTTTTTTCTTTTCTCAGCCAGCCACTGTCAGCAGGATTCTCTGACATTCATGATAGGGAATATAATTAATTTAGCACAGTGGTCTCAAACTCACAGCCCGCGGGCGTGATATTTTGTGGCCCCCTACTTGACATTAAAGTTTAATGTTAGTGAGGCCCATCATTGCGTGTGCTGCGTTTTATTTATTTATTTATTTATTTTCCCTTATGGGCTACCAATAATGTTTGGTAGAAAAAGAATGTTTGTAAAATGAAGTATCACAAAGATGTTGTGCATAAGGAAAAGACAAAGAAAGTTTGTAAAATTAATTTCAACTGTCAGAAGGACAGCTCATGAAGAACTAATCATGTACAGAAAGGAATGTTCAAATTCAGAGGAAGAGTTCAGAAAAAACATCTATCATAAACATTTTGAAGATTGGATCTGTTGTGCTCCATTTTTTGGAATACTTGAATACTATTTTTTTTTTTTTTTTTTTTTGTGGAATACTTGATGCGGCCCAGCCTGACCCAGACTCTACCTCCAGCGGCCCCTGGTTAATATTATACTACTGTATAACCAGGGATGGAAATTAACTTTTTTGTCCACCGGCCACTGTGGCTGGTGGATTTCAAAATCTACCAGCCACTCAATGTTTTTACCAGTCACTTTCTTGTTTTTAACCGACAATGTGTAACTGCATGTGAAAATTAATTCTCCAAGATCTACAATACTTTTATTTAATCTTAAGTCTCAATAAAATAATAAAAAATTTTCTCTTTATCTCTTATACACACACAAACCATGAACTGATAAACATTTAGTTAAATTAGTAGGGCAGATTAAACAAAAAATGGAAAATTTTAAACATGTAGAATACTTTCCAAGCCAGTATAAATTCAGATAGTGTGATATATAAAAAAAACCCATAAGATTATCTTTTAAAATCGATTGAACATGGAGCAGTTTTTCATATATAAAAAAATAAAACATAAGATTATCTTTTAAAATCGATTGAACAGGGAGCAGTTTTTCCTGTGAGTGAGACTGGAAAACCCGTAGTGGATGAAAGCGGAGTGATTACAGAACGCTTAGAGTGCAGAGAGGAATGTGCTTTGGCTCCAGTCCTGGCTTTGCGTCCGCGCCGTTAGGAGCTCAACATCTGTCTCGCATGGACATTCACTCTAGATAAGAGGATATTTTAACTAATTTACAGTAAAACTGGTCAATCACGAGTGGCTCAATTGGTGGATCTATAGATAAACTCATCTTTCAGGCATTTTATCAACGGCTTGACACTTTAGCGTGAGAAATCGGGGGTGTGGCGTGAGAGCGTGAGAATAGCCGTGAGTCTCACGCTCAATGCGTGAGAGTTGACAACCCTGTGACATGCGCTCGTGGCTAGCTCGTCTAGCTCTCCCTTTGGACGCCAAACCGCCTCTCGCGCTACCACGTTTTCTTCCCTCATCGAGCCTCGATGGAAGAAGCGCGTGGGTGTTGAAGGGGTGCCTCCTCTAAAAGTGTCCGTCGTCCAGGTGAAACAGAATGCTATTTGTATTTACCCGCCAAGGTGGCGGATAGGTGAAGTGAGTTTACCCGCCACAACACAAAATCACCCGCATTTGGCTGGTGGTGGGTGCTAATTTCCATCCCTGTGTATAACTATTGTTTAATAATTTAAGTGTACTGATATTCTTAATATTCTTATACAAGCTGAATTGGACTATTTACCAAATATTTACTTGATTATTGTAGGTGTGAAAGTTATCAACTCATTTCAGCATTAATTTCCATCACGGTAAAGTCACAAATATTTACAGAGTTAGAGTAATGTTAATTGTTACAGTAAGCGTGTGTGAAGACTGTTCCCTCAAATGGCCAGCAGGTTTCCAGTCTGGTGTACATCTCTTCCAGCAAATGTTTGTTGCTGGTTTCTTGAAATAGGATGCATGGTTATTGCATTATTGAATCAAAGGGGTTTGTGCTCCAAAACAGATGCCCGAGCCACCTCAGGGGTCTCAAACTCAACTTAAGAGTATTAAGAGAGGTGTTGTGTTCTCTCAAGTGGGGTTCATAAATGCACAGAGTTAGTGTTCAGTGATGCATAGAGTTTGACTGTGCTGAATCATTCGGTTATGTTCGATGAATCGATGTGTTCATTTACTTTGGTCTGAACAGACAGTGTTATAGAAGTAAAAGTGATGATAAGTTGATGCTACTCCACGTGTCAGTGTGATCTTTATAAAACACAACATTTGGCAACGAGGATGGCTGATATTGCACCACCACCACCAGCTACTTTCTTCGCGCTACCAGGTGAGCCTCCGATTCCCTGGACTTGTTGCAGTCCTTTGAGACTTTAGTCGTGGCAGTGGGCCTGACTGATGTTGACTCGTGCATCATGAAGCACTTATGGAATCACCCAATGGAGAGATGAAACGTCATAGGCGGGCGACGTCATCGACCAGGAAACTATAAAGCACCCCAAAAACACAAGCGCATCAGCTTGCGCAAGCGCATCAGTGTCTTTAGTCGTGCTTTATGTGAATCTGTCCCTGTGTGAATATTGTCTGTCTTTCTGTCTTACATACTCTGCACCACACAAACAATTTATATATATATATACTTCTTAAACTGCTGTTTGTTCACCATATCTCTCAATATATAATTACCCAAAAAAGCCTCTAAGAAATACATCAGCGCTGGTTGGTAAAGCATATCTATGGCAGCCCTATATTGAGAGATATGGTGAACAAACAGCAGTTTAAGAAGTGCGTTCCTCCCTTCTTGCGTTATCTAAAGGTTGAGGGGGTTGAGGCTGCCTTATCTCTCCCTTCACCAGTGAGATCCAGTGCCTCAGTCCCGGGTTCGGAAGCACGCGCTGTGGTTTCTTCCGCACGGGCTGAGGCACCAGTAATGCAACTATCCAGTTACGAGGAGAAAGATATAGAGGATTCACCATCTTACATTCCCGAAAGTGACGAGCTGATGGAGGTTTTGACAAGAGCTGTAGAGAAACTCAGCATTGAATGCTGAGTGAATAGAGATGCCAGTGAATAGACAGGAGTCTGTATTTGAATCTAAGTTGGATGAGAGATTTTTGCTGTCACGTGTGCAACCTCCATGCCGGTGCCTGCCGTTTTTCCACGATCTCCAAACTGAGGTGTCGAGATTGTGGAGAAAACCGGTTTCAGATAGAGATTTTAGTCCTCAGACATCAACCTATTCTAGTATTGTGGGGGCTACAGCTTATGGATATGGCGCTATGCCGAGGGTAGAGGAGACACTCTCAAGCCATCGTTCTCCTGAGGCGGTGTCATCATTCAAGGCACCGGCATTACCCAAAAAAGCCTCTAGGAAATACATCAGCGCTGGTGGGTAAAGCATATCTATGGCAGCCCTGGTGGCCGCAGAAAGACATATTTGGTTGAGTAAAATCGTCGAAAAGGCGTCGAAAAGCCCATTGCCTTTGCATCACGGGCCCTCAATCAGACGGAGCAGCGGTACTCAGTGGGGGAACATGAATCATTAGCCTACATCTGAGCCTATGAGAGGTGGCACTTGTACCGACGCGTTTTCACCCTGCGGACGGATCACCAGGCCCTGACTACACTGCTTTCTACATCTGGGACAGGCCACAGACCACTGCGGCTACACCACTGGTTCGACGTCTTCCTCAGTATAACTTTGACCTGAAGTTCGCCCCAGGCTGAGACAATGTTGTAGCTGATCTTCTCCATCCCACCCTGTCATACACACAACCACCAACACGGACCAGGTGGAACCTTGTTCAGATGTTACACACAACCCTCCGGGCTGTCATATCATTACAAGAACTGAAGGACGCATCTGAACAGGACCCGATTCTCTCTCAACTCCGTGTCTATATTCTGAACGGCTGGCCTCATGAGATATTGGAGGAGCTTGCCGCATTATCCAGAATAAAGCAGGAGTTGTTCTGCTGGAACGACACCTGTGTAGCACGCGGCCTCTGCACAGTCATCCCCAGCACCCTACGCACACGGGTCTTGGCAATGGCTCACGAGGGCCGACCTTGGTATTGTAAAGCTGAAACAGTGCTGCAGAGACTGGGTTTGGTGGCCGGGGATAGATAAAGACATTGAGGCCCTGGTGAAAGACTGTGCCGCCTGCCTCTTGAGCAGAAAGACAGGTCACCAGGCCCCCTCACCCTTACAACCTCTTGCTTGGCCATCACAGCCCTGGGATCACCTGCAGCTGGACATATGTGGTGACATACAGGGAGTTCCTCATCACCAACGCTTCCTAGTGGTTGGCTATGACCTGCACTCGAAATGGCCTGAGCTCATTGCAACCGGCTCTGTGACCTCTTAGGTCATAATCAACTTTCTGGACTCTCTGTTCTCCCGCTGGGGCCTCTCAAATACTATCACTACGGACAATGGCCCACAACTGATCTCGGCCAAGTTCACCACATTCTTGAAAAACAAGGGTATTTGCCACATCCGCACAGCATACTATCATCCCCAAGCTAACGGTGGTGTTGAACGCTTTCACCAGTCCCTGAAAAACAGCCTCAGAGCACACCTGTTCCAGGGATGGACCTTCTCACAGGCCATTTGCCACACACTGCTGCACCTCAGGGCCACCCAACACTCTACAAGGGGGTCACTCCAGCTTTCCTCATGCTTGGCCGTGAGCTCCACCTTCCCCTCAACAGGCTCAGCCCAGTACTGCCTCAGGGCCCACTACCAAAGGTCAGTGCCTCAGTTGAACGCCAGCAGAGGCGGGTGAAGCAGAAATTCTATCTTTCAGCACACGCAAAGGCCCCTGACATGGAGGCCACAGATTGGGTCAGGGTTCGCAGGCCCCACAGAGACCACAAACTCGCTTCATACTGGTCTCAAAGTTATTCATCAGCTGGGCCCGGCCACATTCTCGCTCAGTTGGCACACAATGACATGCAAGCCGGCTCCGCAAAGTATGGGCCCCGGCACATACGATAGGTGTCACATCTCAAGCCACACCCTCAGCTTGGCAGGACAACCCGGCGAGTCAACCTAGACCTCAGATAGATCCTGAACAGCCTCCAAGCATCCCTATCAAACTCCCAGCTGAGATGTGTGCTTGTCCATCACAGGCTGCCAAGCCTCATCCTTGTTTTTCACCGCGGCCTGTTCGCACTCGTTCTCGACCTGGGCACCTACAGGACTTTGTGTCAACATTTCTGTGTCTGAAAACTTGTAGGAGGGGGGGAAATGTTGTGTTCTCCCAAGTGGGATTTATAAATGCATTGAGTTAGTGTTCAGTGATGCATAGAGTTTGACTGTGCTGAATCATTCGGTTATGTCTGATGAATCGATGTGTTCACTTACTTGGGTCTGAATAGACAGAATTATGGAAGTAAACATGACGATAAGTTGATGCTACTCCCTGTGTCAGTATGATCATTATAAAACACAAAAAGAGGTAAGAGTAAATGTCAGTATTGTTATTGCTGTCTATATGCTTGCTCTTGTGACTTGCTGACATTAAATGATTAATAATCATATTTGTAATAATGCATTTGAAATAATAAAGCATTCAAATCTTGCATATTTGAAGATGATATTCCCCTTTCATGTTTATTTAGCTCTTCATAAGAACTAATCATTTTCTTCAGAGAAACAGAGACAAATTCTTACCTATATATGGCTTGGGAAAACTAAAAACTCCGTTTCTCCCTGTCCCCCCCTAAGATTCGGCAACAGCTTGAGGATTAACCACAGCTTTTGTTAAGATGTGATAAACATAAAAAATATATATATATTTTAATATATTCTCCACAGAACCCCTAGTACTCAAGATTCATGGCTTTCTTGGTCTGATGGTCAAGTTACCAGTTAGAGTTCCAGCTATTTTCAATGCTGCCTTGGTGTTTGTCACTCTACTCATTTGAAAAGCCCTGAAATAAATCCTGACCTTTCTATTGCTATTCAGTATAATGATCTGGCTAAAGCATTCAGTGAAATATGAGAAACTGCCCATAAACAATATAAAAAAAAAATCATTGGGAGTGTATGTTTGAAATAGTGGCAGGTACATCACACAATCTGGTGTACAATTAAGGTACACCAGACCATCAACTTCCCCTAAAGAATGCAAGTTTTTGCTTTGAGTTGAAAAATGGGGACTTAATGCAATTACAGACAAATATCACTTTGCCTTATCAGACAAATTACAGACAAATATCACTTTGCCTTGCCTTTTGCCTAGTGTTTTGCCTCAGACACAATTCTCAATTCATTGTTAATGCCATGTTTAGTTTTTTTCTCTCCCTTGTTACACTGTTCTTAATATGATAATTAGCTTTATTAATACACTACTACATGTTACACTATTACACTAGTATTATAATAATATTGGTAATTGCTTTATGTTATGTTTGAATCTTACAAATGTCAAAAACTGAGGGTTTTGTGTCATTATTTACAAACCTGATTTTTGAAACCTCTCTACTCAACATTCAGTAATCCCAAGCAGATTCTCTTCAGATGGACCAGCCATCAAAATAGTGTCGAAATTTAAAAAGGGTTAAAATTTATATCAGATTGTGAGCAGAACCTTCAATGGAGCTGAACCTCAAACAAAAAGATAGTGACGAGTTGTGACAGTCTTCACTACACATTTGTGACAATCTTTACTACACAATGAAGAAATGTCAATCTTTTTGATATGTTGTACCAGCCTTCTTTTATGACCTGTGAGGTCTTTATGTTGTGCTTGTGTTGCTGTGGGTGTGTTCTGTCTCTCGCCTGCAGATGTGTTCCCCTGTTCTGAGTCTGACGCTGTATGTAATCCCACAGCTGGAGCTGATGAGCAGCAATTAGTGGAGTGTACAAGCTAATGCTCTCGCTCTAACACTATGTAACACCTGTTAGAAAGATGTTACAGTTGTGTCAATGGTCTGTGTTTGTTTGAGTCTCTGGGAATCAGTTATGTGTCAATACCAAGTGTGACTTCCACACCACCATTTCATTCATTAAGGTATGTTCTCAGTCCCCAGGGAATTCATATTGATCTGTTTAGGTCCAGTTTGTAACCAATTGACAACAACCAAAATCTGCGTAGGAACTGTAGACGTTCTTGGTATTTGTCAACATTTAATAGATTTATCTAGGGTTTGAACACAAAAACAGCACCTTTGACTGCTAGTCTCTCAACATCTCAATATCAATATCAGTCTAACATGTGGTTAAGGCTTGTGATGTTCCTGATTTGTAAGTCAATTTGGATAAATTCAAAAACAATGTCTTAATCCATCACTTGAAAGATTCCGACAATAATATTGTAGCTAAAAAGTAACCAGCTGATCCGCAGGCCCTGCTTCATTTAAAGAGCACCTATCATGGATTTTTGAAAATCACTGTAGTGTGGAATTTAGCTCTAAGGGAATGAAAACGTCCTGCAAAGATTTATATCTGAAAGTGCACCGTATATAAATTTATTGTCTTTTGTCTTTCAAAAGTGAGAGTCGACTCTGAGTCTGTTTTTGTACAAAAATTGTTTTTGAAACGAGTCATTAGCTGTTTCGTCGTGACGTAGATACAAAACATTAGCTCATTGGCCGCTCCCAACAAATGTGCGCGCAGACGGGAGTGTAAACTTGAAGTCTAGACTAGAACACATTCAAA